CTTTCACTTTGTTCTTCAGTTTGTTTTTCTTCAGAAAGCCTTGTTCTATAATTAACACAGCATGATAGACTGCAGGGCTGAAACGCCGCCTTATACTATTTTTTTTTAGACTGTATTTATTGCAATTTGAACATCAAATGTTTGCCATATTGTGGCTTTCTTTCATGGTATGCTCTTAGATGAAGAGTATAACAGAACAGGTGTCTTTTGTGCAGAGCCCTTTAAAGGAAAGTGTTTTCTTTGATGATACAGTCCTAGACTCTTTCCTAACAACGCACAGTGTCTAGACATGATCATTTAACAAGAAATTCTTAGAACACTTCCCAGCTATTGTGAGACTTGCTTCAGGGGAGCTTCAGATGTTTGCAGTTCATGCTACAGCGAAGTGTCTGCACAGTTCTGATTCTTGGCACTGCTAACTGGCTCAGAAATATAGGGCTGTAGTCATAGAGCAGCAGTTTCTGGATCTGTTGTAAGCTGACCTCTGGCTATATAAGACTGCATTTCTATGATGGAGCTGTTTTCTTTCTGATCCCACCCTTTCTCCTCCTATTTACTGTAAATGTACTTATCTTAAATTGTTGATTGCCTTACGGGATTTTTTTTTTTTTTACTTTGATGCCAAATTTCCAACTTGTGTGATGAGTGAGCTGTGGTTTTTTAATTCTCCCATCAACTTGTTTATATGATTTGACCCATTACCAGCAGCAGGCAAACTGAACTTGTCCATTAGTTGGTTGAAAAGGTGAACTGAGACCTGTGTGATCTTTCTAGGTTCTCCCTGCACTTAAGCAACCACATGGGAAGGGCTGCACAAACGTGTAGGTATAGTACAGAAACCATTAACATTTCATTTTGAGAGGCTTGAACAAACTTTATTCAGTTTGGATTTATCAAGGTTCCTACCTCCAGAATTTTGGTGGCAGGCTGGGGGTGGGCTGGGGACAGGGTGGAGCCAGACCAGCCTTGCTGCTCAGTTGCTGAGTTCTGCCACAGGCTCCCCCTGGGTCCTACTGCTACTGTCTTCCTGCCAGCTTTGATAGGCAGCCAGGGGAAGATAAAAATTAATTTTCTAAAATTTTTAGGGGCCCCATAGGCCAAATAGAATGGTCTGGCGGGAAGGATTTGGCCTGCGGGCCGTATTTTGCCCACCCCTGCTGTAGACTGATGGTCTCACATGACCTTAACTTTGTAGTTGTGACCTAGGGACCTAATTTAAAACCCTTGCTACAGAAAGTTGATGTTCTCTTCTTCCATAAGCTGCTGTGGAAGGTAGGAAGAAGGCATATGGCAGTGTGTGTACTGTAACTCTCGGTGTTTTTTGGAGGACCTTTTTTTGAATGAAGATTTAAGTAGCTAAGACTTTGTTTTGCTTCGCTGATTTGCTTGTTTGTACCAAGTCTTTATTCTCCATCCTAAAGTTAGTATTGTCACTGTGCTAAAATTATAAGCTTAACAAACAACTGGTCAAAACAGCTATTAAAATACCAGGTTTTGGAAGTATTGCCAAAACCAACTGCATTATTCTTTGCTGTTTGTAGCTCCTTTTTGATGGACTTAAGCTGCCGGGTATTGTGCAGTCTGAACAAAGAATAATGGGTAACATGACTGAATCAAAAATAACTAGGGAAAGCTTGTATTCGAACGTGTTAACGTTTTCTGGCACCTAGCACTATCTAGCACAGGGATGGGCAATTATTTTGGGTGGAGGGCCGCTTACTGAGTTTTGGCAAACTTTCAAGGGCCGCATGGGTAGACTTGCTCTTTGACAGGTGCCTTGCCCTCTGGTCATTATCTTGGGACCGTAAGTCCCACTCCCTAACCTCTGACCTTTGCCACTGGAAGTCCCTCCGCTTGCCCCTGGAAATACTCCTTTGGGGAAGATGGTTTGCCATCTTAGAACGGAAAAAAACTACCAAATTGTATACTAAAAATCAAACACCCATAATATTTCCTGAACTAAAGCACATGTTTGCTTGCAATTTGTTCTGCAGTCGACTGAAGATGCAAATTTGTTAGCTTACCCCAGCTAGTCTTTCAGATAAGCATTGAGCTGTATAGCTCCATAATGCAAAATGTAGTCATGTTTTGGTTTCACCAAATTGCTTCCCACATGTGAAAGCATTGTTCTTCCCACATGTGAAATATTTTAAAAGACCACAGGTTTTATATATTGCTGCTTCTCTTATGACAGCATTGCAGTGAGAAAATGTTTATTTCATTTACTTCCATTAGAGAGAATGGGGCAGTGGGGGGGAACCCCACCTGAACTCCCAGCAATCCAGTTCCTTTTGCTCACACTTGGCTTGAAGCTTTCTTGAGCTGAACAAATACTTCGTTGGATGCACTTTGCAGGACGTGGACAGGGCTCAAAAGTGGGACAGGGAAACAGACCAGGTCTGTCCAATGACTAAACTGTGGGGAGCTGCATAGGTGAGCTGTCCCACATGGGTCTACTCGCACCTCCCTGTGCTGCAGCATGTGGTCACGTGAGTGTGATTCCACTCCTGGACAAAGCATGCCTACACAGACATCATCATCATCTCGCTCCCCCCCCCCGGTTGGTGTGACTTCCCGTTTCCTGACTTGCCCTCTGGTTCCCGCACCACTTGCTGTACAGCAGTGGAAGCCAGAGGAAGAAGGGGGAGAGACTTCAGCAGCTGTTGCAGCCAGAGCTGTAGGAGAGCAGTAGCCAGGTGAGAACCCAAGGGCTGTAGTTCAACTCCTTGTGAGCCCCCTGTTGCCAGTGGGCTGCCAATTGGACAGCCCTGACATAGGCTATAAGAATATTTGACATGAGCAGCAGAAATCAGTCTGTTTCCCTTTTTCATGTGTGGTTGTGCATATGAGCAAGTCTCCAAATCTGTGCTGAACAAGTAGTCCTAAAATAGAGTGACTATGCAAAATAGCGCCTCTTGATCAACTCACCTGTCCCCTGGATGCACTGAGAACCACTTATACATTGCTTTACTACCTGATATGAGACTTTTTATTATTCTTATGAGAAGCTAGTGCATCTTTGGCAAGGAGATTTAGATTATGTACCAACGGAACTGTTGACTAACTTCTGCCATCAGGACCCTTACTGCATGAAGCCGGAGAAGCCCAGCTTGGATAGTTTTTGTTTGAATTTGTAACCTGGGAGATGAGGATATTTAGCAGGTTTCATCTAAAGCCTGTGAGTCATAATGAACATTAACCCCCAATTGCTCTTCTGAAGGTGGGGGGATCATTTTTAGAGCAGAGCTGCATTCTGACTGTAATTTATTTGGTTCTTCCATGGATTGCAAGACCACTTAATCACATTGATTACTGGTTTTCACATATGCTATGAATGCACATTAACTTTATCTTGAGCGTGAAAAACTGAGCACTAACAGTCCTTTCCTAAAGGTCAGGGAAGCACACCTACTGTGACGGGTGTTGAGCTGAAATGTCTATTGAGATAAATATTGTTGCTTTATCAACATAAATTAACTACATGATATGGTATACGCATATAGGAACATCATTAACCACTATAACAGCATTGATGTAGTAGTTTGCTGATTGTGTCTGAAAGAGTCAGTGCTGCTTAACTGAAATGCTAAATCAGGTTTGTAGAAATGTGACTTTGCAACACCACACTTTTATAATGAAATGGGAGTTCCTCATGGATTTGCTGATGGTGGTTATGGGATGTGTATCTTAGTTATTGTCATCTGTCTTTTAAAATGTAAAGATTTCTGAATGCTGGTCTTTATCTTACAGCTTTCCACGTGAAGTCCTGGAAGTCGGAAGGAGACTAAGTAATAGTGAAATGACCCGTTATGCATTTGAGAATACTGTGTAAGTAGTAACTTATTGATGATGCTTCCACAATCATTGGAGAAAAGAAATCAACTGTAACTTACCATTCCCCTGTCCATAGAGCAAGCGAACTAGAGGGTTTCCCAGGTGGGAGCTCCAGATAGGAGGAAGAAAAGTGAGCATGCACAGAATTGCCCCCTGTGAAGTGTGCTAAAGAAAATCCAGGCATATCCTTGAGTATCTGAACTGAGCTAGGCCATTTGTGCTACTCTGCATAGCTTCTGCTCCTTCCTCTAGTCCTTGTCCATCACGGGTTAGATGGTGGCTGCTGTATAAAATCCTGTAGGAGCTTATGCTCATTTTCATTGGAATTATCCTATGAGTTTGCTGGGAGATGTGAGGATGTCCTGCTGTTGAGCCTGCCACGCTTCAGTTACATTGTACTCCATGGGTTGAGAGAAGCAGAGATGTGCTTGCCTTGACTCTACCTCATTTGTAAAGGGTTTCCCTAAACTTCTCATCCTTTTTGCAGTGAAGGAACATCTGTTTTTTTGTTTTGTTTTTTTTTTCTTTCCTTCATCTTCCCTGTCATTTTATGTGGTGTGGTTTGTTTGTTTGGTTTTTTTTTAATATTGACCAGGAATTAAAATCGGAGGTAGTAGCTGGTGTGTTAACCACATACTGTTTTTGATCTTTATTATTCTCCAGATGTAAAAAGAATTTTTCCTACTTCTTTGGTCAGAGTTGCAGCTTAACTTATTTAGTAGCAGCACACTTCTGTCCATTTTAGAGATTGCCTTCCTTTTCCCCACAGAACATCATTTTGGTCACTCCCATGGACAGCCTTTCTTAAAAAATAAATAATAAAAAAAAAAGATTGAGTTGCTCCACTAGCTTATTCCTTCTGGACCTAATGTTGCATATCATATGGACCAGCTGACTCCTCATTGTAAGTGTTTTCATACTGCTTTTATAAATGTCTTCATTAACAAGATCTTCCTAATTGTATGTACCTCTGCCCATAGAATTAGTGTGCTTTGACAAATCTCAGTCTTAATATGTGGTTTTTGTTTTGCCAGTTTTAGTCACTAGCAATAGATTTCCTGTGTTCTTAGTTGTTTCCTCCCTGACTACAAGTAGAACATGCAGCATCATTATGGATCTCTGCATTTAGTTTGTTGTGGTGGAAAACAAGCTTATGGACATCTCGATGATTCATGCTTAGCTGTAAGTGACTACTCAGACATCTGTTGAGTAATAAACTCCTTCAGGAGCACTGTATCCTGTGGCTGTGATTTGCCTTCAGGTTTTAGTCCCAGATTTTATTCTTTGGTAGTAGAGGTCTATAATAAGTCTGTAACTTTGGTTTTTCACTCTTGTTCTCGCTCTTGTTTTTTGCATCTCTAACAAATTTGTAGTGTTAAAATTATATGGTGTTATTCTAGTTTCTGTTACTCTGTCTTTATACGCGTCTGGCACTCTGCCTTTTTAAATGTGAGGATCCTTTTTCTAGGCCCATGAGAACTTCACATGGTCATATCAGCATTGGAATTGCAAGAGAATTTCTTTGGTAAGCTTTAATTTAGGTTTGCTTGGTCATAATCAGGGATCCGGGTTTTCTGTTTGCTGCAGAAGAACATGGCAAAATGTGGATTTTTCTCCTTTTAAAGGAGAAAAATGTGGATTTGCCCTTGCAAGCTGGCAGAGTGCCTCCCCAGACTTCTGCACCCACAGTGGGGTATGGAACTGCAGCCTGGCTGGATGCACACTGGGCAGGATCTGCCTCTCTGGCCCAGCAGGCAGGACCTGGTGCAGGAGGGGGTGCTGCGGCATGAAGGTGAGGTGCCCCCGCCCACCTGGCAGCAACGGGGTGGTACGGTGCAGCACTCCCTCCTGTACCGGGTCCCACCTGTTGGGCTGCGGAGGTGGCTTCTGCCCATAGTAGGTCCGGCCTGGCTGTAGTCCTGCACCCCACTGGGTGCAGAAATCTGGGGGTGGGGGGAACATGCCTTCCCATGGGCCCCCCAATGTATTTCCTGTGCCCCCTCACCCCCTCAATGCGTCACCTATGCCCGCAGCCCCCTTCTCCACACACCCGCCTCCTTCTCCACATGCCCGCTTCCTTCTCCACACACTGGGTCTGGGGGCAGGGAACAGCAGGTTGGGAATGAGGGGGACTGGCAGGGATGGTGGGGGCTGTGGGTCAGGAGTGAAGGGCAGAGGTGGGGATGGGACTGTGGGCTGGGAGTGAGGGGCACCACACTGGCATATTTGGGCTGCTCAGTGCCACAAAGCAGCGGGGGGGGCAGCTGCAACTGGACTTGTCCTGGTGAGCAAAGGGGGTAGCAGGAGGTCTGATCTTCCATGATGAAACAAAACCAACCAACCAAACAAAAAGCCAAAATCAAATGCCAAAATATATAGGCATTTAGAAGTTATTTTATTACAATTATTGAGGCACTGGTAGGCTTCCAAATTGCTTTAAAATTGTAAATATATCAATAAAAATGTTACATGCATACATACCACATTATAGTGGTATTTAATTTTAATAGTGGAAAAATGTAGATTTTGGGTGTTTTAATAGGAATATTTGGGATTTTTTAACAGAGAAAACCATGATCCCTGGGAATAATAGTCAGTGGAACCCAGAACTAACCCTTTTTTTTTTTTTTGCACTCATTAGCCTCTGGCATAATTACACAGGGACATTTCCACACACCTCCCTTTTCCCCCTGCCCCCACCGCTTTAAATGGGAAGTAATGCTCTTCTGATCCCCTGTTGAATTCTGGTTTCTAAGCATAGAAATTGGTCTGCTTCTCCAACTTCCCCCAATTATTTATTTGCGTACGCGTATGCATGCACACTTGCCCACATGCCCACTTTTTTTGAACAGGAGGCATAGTATGAGAGTGGAGTATGAGAGCAGATCCTGTAGCGTGAAGATGGCATTCCCACACTGGCGAACAATTTGACAGAGGAGGGAGGGAGAAAAAGGGTGTTGGGAGGAAGGGTCCAAAAGTTGTACTTGTTCTAAACAAGGTAATGAGGGAATTTGTCAGTAGATGCAGCGTAATGCTTTTTAGTTGCTTTTTTTTGGGAGTAGTATGCCTCAAAATACTTGTAACATTGCATCAGGTTTCCTGTACAAGAGAGAATTGCAACAATGGTGCTTTAAATCTCTTCCCATGTCTGCTTGTAAAAGGTAGGGTTACGTTTTGGAACGGTTTCCCATAGAGGGAGGGAAAATGTGCCACTGTGGGCCAGATGGCTCGGGCTGTTTGGGCTCTGCTAGCATGGATGGTGTGCTTGTATTAACAGCACTCCCCCTATCAGAAAGCAAGTCGTATAATAAGGTGCAGTGGCATTGGAATACAGGAAAATCCTTTCTGAAGTGAAGAGATGCCTGGGCAAGATGCTTGCTTGGCTGACTGGCACAACACAGATTATTAACAAACAATTTTGGTACGGCTTTCTGAACCTACCAGGAAGAGTGCTTCCCTGCCCTCCCCACCTCCCTTTCATCTCTAATATCTGTTGATCTGTTGTTTTGGCTGAACCTCACCCAGGCAATTCCAGTTGCCATCATTTAGAATAAATAGATAAGTCACTGGGGTTATGAGGTTGATTACGTCACTACTTTTAGACTTCAATATCGGACATTTGTCGTGGTACCGATACCAATGGAGAACAGAAATTGTGACTGCAAAGGACACAACATACTCATGCTGTTTATAATTGAGCAGTGAACCACCTTCTGTACCCTAGATAACAGGAATTACCATACAAGAGCTGATCGGTCTTCCCTGCAGTCCATTATCCTCAACTGTTACCAGATGCTGGAGAGGAAGTTGCAGGAAATCCTGTGTTTGTAGGCAGTTAGGGAATAACCT